GGTGTACCGTGAGCATGGGACTGATGTCTTCCCTCCTGTGGTGTCTCGTTCTGCAGGTGCCTTATTAAGTGGCTGGAGGTTCGGAAAGTGTGTCCACTGTGCAACATGCCAGTTCTGCAGCTGGCCCAGCTGCACAGTAAGCAGGACCGTGGACCCCCACAGGGGCCCCTGCCAGGGGCAGAGAACATTGTATAGCTCACCACAGGATCAAACTGTTGCAGGACCCACGCTCACAGAGGCAGGCGGAACACACATGCTCTGTGTTGGCTGTTCTACCCAGGCACCAGCTGCCACTTCCTTTGCCTCATGAAAAACTCCTGGGCCAGCTAAGCTAAGACCCAGACTTCTGGGTCATGTGACAACCAAAGCTGACAGTACCCACGTCCCACGCCAAGAGAAGAGAAGTTAAATGAGCCTGCAGGTTTGGTTCAAGGAGCTTCATGAGAGTCTCTTGCCAACTCAATTACATGCTGTCGTCCAGACACTTCTCTCCATGTCAGGTGACTTTTGTCAAGCAGAAGGGAAAGATAAACACAAGTGCTAGAGAAAGGAACTGAGGGCAGGTCTTTAAAGCCACCCACACCCCGCCCTGTGGACAGATGAGCTTCTATGCAGACTGTGCATGCCTGAGCAGCAGCAAACCTTCCCGGCAGCCCCTGAGCCAAGCAAAACCAGCGGTTACCTCAGCCGAAGCACGACCGGTTGCCTGGTTGGTGAGACAGTGCCAACAAAGGCTTTTCACCTTATATTCCTTTGATAAAATCATCTTGGAACCCAAGGGCTTTGGTTACAGTGCCCCTCACCATCACTTCTCCCTGTTTTACAACATCTGCTTATCAAGTTACCTAAGCTAAAAACATTAGATGTGCTTGGAAAGGCCTGGTCAGAAGCCATTTCCTCTTATTCCACACCCACCTCACCAGTGAGGCACAGCCAAGCTGCCCATCGGGGGCCTCCCGTGGGCCTGGGCCTCTGAGCCCTTGCTGTCCCTGTGTGCCCCAGGGGGCCTCGGAGAGCTGCCCACATTCCCCCATTCAGTGTGGTTCCAGCATAGCTGCTGGTCTTGGCTCACTGTCTTGGGAGGGATCCCCTGGGAGCCCTCAGACAGCTGAGAATGGCTAGTCCTCCTGGCCCTGCTGAGACAGGAGGATGCTGGCCCTCTTTCCCCTTCTTGCCCTCTCTCTCCCTACTTCAGAGAAAATGCTGGCATTGACTTTTTAACGACTTAAAACATCCCAAATAAGATCCCTCTGTAATTCTTTAGCCAGGGACCCACTTGAAATTGTAAATAGTTTCAGGAAGCTCCTGCAGGGCTGTTTACTCACTGGTGTGTGCCTCAGTATTCGGACTTGCGAAAACTAATTGCTATTGCAAGTATCTTTATAGGAGAGAAATGCATGTTACTCTTTGGCTCTTTCTGTCCAACTTTTCTAGAAGTGACTCAGAGTCCTTTAGATTCATGAATATTGTATAAATTAGCTAAGAACTTTGTAGTTCTTTTCCACAGCCCTGTTCTCAATCTCCTTCCATTCTAGGGATGGGTTCCTTGTCATCAGCTTTGCCTCTGCTCCCTCACAGGTGTGAGGGGGGCGGTTTCTCACTGGAAATGCTGTCTGCATGGTATGGAGAGATGGAGGAAGCTTTGCAATTCTGATGATGGCACTTATCCAAGAACTTTTTCTGGAATCCAGCCTCTACCGTCTTAGAATGGGAAAGGGAACCTGTCCATGGCTCAGGTAGCTACAGTCAAAGGATGAGGAAAATTCCTATTAGCCTAGGAAAGTGCTGGGCAGAATCCAGTTTGGAAAATTACAAGTCCACTTGGTCAGAATTGGCTGTTTCCGTGTGACCTAGCGTATGGTATTCCTATGGTATGCCAACTGGACTGTTTCTTAAACAGGGCAAGTAAAGTGTGGAATATTTTTATATGAAAGCCTTAGCCTGTTTGGCACCCATGAAAAGAATTATTTGTACACTTGGACTTTCACCCTGTTTCTGCGTTCTCTGTAGCATAATAGAGTTGAATGCTGCAAAGCACCCAGTTTACAGTGAAATATTGTTAGTGACCAAGTAGGCTTGCTTCTGGGCTAGCCTAGTTAATGACCACCAACCCATCATTTTCCCTGGAATGGCGTCGAGACAAATGTCATCTTGTCATTATGGGCTTCGAATAAGAAAGAGAATTTTTTCCCCTCAGAGGAATGCTTGAGCTCTATACTGCTCTGTAGGAATATAGCCTTCCAGTTGCAGCCTTTTTCTGTCCCTGTGTCAGTAACAAGGAGGCAGCTTCACCAAGTCCCTGTGTTTATAGGGAGGCTCATTAATTCATTTTACTGTGTCACAGCTAAAAGCAGAGGTCATTGGTATGCACTGGACCAGAGGTGCAAAGCCAGACAGTTTAGAGGAAAGCTTGAGAAGGCTGTGCCCTCTCCACTTGGCACCATAGTGGGTCTGCTTTGCCCCAGGAGGTGCCACTAATATGACCTCAACACTTGTGAATGTGGGGAGGGTTTTAAAAATGCAGCATTTCCACTCCGATGGGGCTGGACATTGAAGTGCCGAGTGCCCGCTCTGCTCAGTCATCTCCCCTTTCTTGGTGTGGTGTCCTTTTGCAGCATAGCCACTGTCACTTGGCAGTTAGCAACACAACCTGAATGCATTTGCCACCCACATTTGGGCCCTCCTCCAGCACTTCCCTGTACTGCACGTGGCTAGCAGCGGTTAGTCACAGCATTGTGTGACAAAGGTAAATTTCCATCTGGACTTTTTTAAAAGAATGAGTCAAGGATCCCTTAATACATTCAGCTCAGGCTCACACCTCACAGTGAGGCTGCTGTCCACATTTGTCTGAGTAGGTGACCTTTTGATAATCTATTGACACGTGGGGACTCTGATCTGCTTTTGGGCCACTGGCTAATAACTTTTTTTTTTTTTTTTTACTTAACACATCTTAAGTAGCTCCAAGATTGGACGTTACTTGTGTGCCATGGGTTAGTGGAATAGAGCTCAGCCCGGAGTTCACCTGGTTTTAGAAATGAAACAAAACCAGCCTGACTTGGTTCTTGGTTGTTATATTTACTTTGAGACTGTGACTTGGGTTAGGCCTATTCCAGGAAAGGAGCAGGACAAGACAGAAATGAGCAGATTGGAACAGGTGGCCCATGGATGAGGGCATCTGGGCTGAGGGATACCAGGGACCTCCCACCATTGTCATATAGCCAGTTCTTCACAAGTCTTGACAAATGAGTCTTTTCCCCAATGCCAAGCCCCTTGGATCCTAACCTCAGGCCCTTTCCACAGCCTGACTCCAAAGTCTGTCATCTCCATGACCTCATCCCACTCTGTTAAGCTATTCTTAATGACTGTAGAAATTACTGGGAGGCATCCCCAGAGCTCTGGACAGAAAAAGTGATCAGACTGATTTGAAGCATCTCTGTCACTCACCAGCCAGGTGCCTGTCAGTTCTCTTATCCATCACCCAGGGACTATACTGGTGTCTATCTACTGGCCCTTGCAAGGATTAGCTGTGTCCAGAGCCTGGCAGGTGACAGATCTGAGTCATGGGAGCAGATAATGGGCGTTTGTCACGCAGGTCATGTGGGCTCCTGTTGTCCCAGGTCTGCTGGCTCCCTTCCTCTTCCCCTCACCTCCATCTGCCTTTGCAGTGCTCCCTGATTGGTTGCTTACTGTGGATATCTTTTTAAATTTAACTCTGAATAGGTAATCCCTTCCCACAGTTCATAAATCAGTCTTCCTTGTATCCCTGACCTCCAGCAAGCCCAGCTTCTCACCCCTTGAGCATCTAGTTTTGCTCCTTATGTATCCTCCCAGAGGTCATTTATGTATATACAAGTACACACACATGTATGTATGTGTGTGTGCGGAAGGGGGGAGGTGTTCTTTTTGCTCATGTGATACTGAAGTACATTCAGGAGCATTCCTATTCATATGGGAAGAGCTGTACCAGAAGTCAGAATATCTGCAAAAGGTGAGCCCAGAATGGGGGATGATCCTTTTACAATCACATTCCTTTTGAAAATGGCTTTTTTATTGTTGATTGCAGCACACTGGAATTCTAGTTTTCTATACAAATCAGAAACTGTAGTCCCTCCCTGACTCCTACCACACATGTCCAGATGACTGGAGCACAACCAGTTTCCAGACTTGCTGATCTGTGACAGGACACACAAGAGCAGGCTCTGTAGCCAAGAGCAGCAGTGCAGGCCCAGCAATTTTGCAGCCACCTGGACAAGCTGCCCCACACCATCTTGGCTAGTTGCAAGGGAAGCCTGAGTGCAGCAGTGATGTCTCTTAACTCTCTTGCTTTCTTAGGCGAGCACCCATTTTTGAGGCAGGAGTTCAAGCAGCAGCAGCAACTGAAGGCTGAGGCACCACCTTTCTATCTTGTGAGGCAGTTGTCTCAGATGTTGCTAAACAAGTAGGTGGTCAATCATAGATGTTCGGGTACATGGATCAGGCTCCTTTCCCCTCCCACTTTAAAACATGCTTCCCCTAGTTTTTTCCTAGCCCAACACTTTTCACTCAATGACATTCCCCACCTTTTAAGAAATATTTTAAGTTCATTTTTGCCCCTAGAGAATATGGAAATTAAAGCTTCCTTTAGGTAGCCATGGGGCCATGGACTAGTGCCTCTTGGTCCTCACCCACCTCCCAGTGTCCTGCCACCCATACTTTCCCCAGGATTCAGTGCTTTTGCGCCCCTGACCTGAAACTTGAAAAGGAATTGCAGGGAACCTCCACCCTTCTGTCATGTGATGAATCTCTGGCCCTGGGTTAGTCTTTCACGTTAGCTGTTAAGAACTTGAGTAAAGGACATGTCTAAATTAACAGTGTATAAATTTAGGTGAAATTTGCAGTTGATAACTAGAATATGCTGGGTCATGGTTCTTTAGTAGATAAGATTAACGTGCTTACATTTGAGAGTATCAAGAGGAACATAGAAAGGCTTGGTCAGTTTTCCAGTTGTTTTAGAGCCCACTTGTTCCAAGATGCTAATTGTTTTCTCCGTTTTAGACCAAACATCAGCATTCTTTGCTTACCAATACAGGGCTCACTTCTGTGGCTACAGGGACAAGGAGAACACCCTGCCTGCTCTAGGGGCATGTACTCAGAAAGGGAGCCTGCCAATATTAAGGGACTTGTCTGTACTTTGATGTAGCTCCTATGCCAGTACAAGCCTGGTGGATCAGCACCGTGGGCCAGCTGCACACCGTCCCTGTCTGCTCCTTCCCTCCCAGGTTCCGAGAGAAAAAGGAGGCAGATGGGACCAGTGTTGAAGTCCCTCCTGGTGACACCGTCTTCCAAGATAGTGTTCCTGATCATTGTCGTCTCTGGTAACAGATCACTGCCAGGAAGGAAGGTAGTTTAGCCATGTAGTCTAGCCCACTGGGGTTCATTCACTAGACATTATGTAACTCCCTCAATAAAAGGTTTATGAAATGCTGAGCCTCAGGTTTCATAGACGTGTTTGTACACTAAGAATTCTGCAGCAGAATATTTTTAAACATTCGCAGTTTTTTGTAAGCTATATTTTTGTATATTTAATTGCTATTTTAAAGTTTTAATGCATTTTTTGCTAATTACTCTTGTTTAAAAAATAAAACATGCATGTAATTGACTTAAATGTAAATAAAGAGCAGATTTTGAAAACTACTTAATGTTAATCATGTACCCACTGGTGGACACTCACACCCCACGTAAGCTTGTGTAGCAAGAGTGGGAAAGTCAAGGTGAGTAGGGCACAGCAACAGGTGACTGTGATGAAGGAGCTCCTGGCCTGTCCCCCCACAGTGTGGAGTGAAGGTCAGGGGTGATGAGTAAAGCACTAGGCCACAGTGAGGGAGAAAGCAGAGAAGCCAAGGCCTCACCTGCCACTGGCCTCAGCTTTGCAGATGCGGCTGGACACAGGTAGTTTCCAAAATACAGGCACTAGTCTCAGGGGAGTAAAGTGTCAGAACTAGGCCATTCCTCACACCTCTCACTACACCCCAGACCTGCAAATAAACTTCTATTAGGAAGGAAAAAAAACATCTCTTGGTCCAAAGTCACCCTGTGGTAGCTGCTATTTCTCACCAACCCTTGCTAGGACTTCTGTGGATCAATCAGCTTCTGCCCCATAGCTTTGGGGAAACTGTTCCCCTCGAGGCCATCTCTGGGCCTCCTCTTAACCCTCAATGCAGGTGTCTGGAGGGCTCCTCTCCCCTGTCTCCTGAGCAACAGACCCCTAGCATCCCCCTCTGACCTCGCTTCAGTTTTCTTCACAGCCTTTCCCTTCTCTGCCCATCAACTGTTTTTCAATTACAGCTCAAAACCAAGCCCCCCCAATAAGCTTATGCCCTTATAGAAACTTCCTCCACCATATCCTATCATCACATCCCAATACTCAACCCTCTAACCATCCACCTGTCCCCACCGGGCCATCTACTGCTCCCATTTTCGTGTAGGCCTCTAGTGGGGAGCGTGTGGTGGGGCCCTCAGGCTACCATCTGGAGGGCAGATTGCAAAGGACAACTGCTGAGATAAGATGGCAGTGGTTTAAACTAGGGTGGTGGCAATGGTGAATGGAGACTGAGTTTACGTGCATCTCAAGCTGGAGGGAGTGAAGAAGATGAGGGGGGGTGCAGGGGAAAGGATGTGGATACTTCTGTGTAGGGATGGCCTTGGAGATAGATAAGTAGAAAGAAGGGAAGGAAGTCACTGCCTTAGGACTGGAGCTCAGAGGAGGTGCTGGGCATAGTACCTTGGAAGTCAGAGTCAAGGTGAGTGCTGATGACTGCTTAGGGGAATCAGGACTGTGCCTGGAGCTGGCAATGTCAAATTGTTGCTCTCAAGCTGGCAGAGACAAAGGGGTCTGGAAGGCAGAAGGAAAAGCAAGAGATCCTCCACTGTGTTAGAACTGAGGAAAGCGAGGACATAAATGTGTTAGATTTAGTAACGAGACTCAGTGGACCTATCAAGAGCCCTCTCTTGCAGTGACAGTGTGAGCTAAGAACCACCCACAAAGTGAGTGGCAACTGGGCCCTCGGAGGTAGAAGGCAAATGCAAGAAAGGAGAGGGGACTCTGCCTGTGACCTCAGGCGGGTTTGCTGAGTTGTGGAGGTCACAACAGCTGCATGAAACAACCCACGTAAAGCACTGGCACAGCCTCTAAAACACAGGCGGGACCCACAACACAGGAGGTGGGGCCTGGGTCTCCACTAGAAATGGCTCGGGCTCCCTCCCCTTCTCTACCTTCTCCGCCCAAGGAAGCAGAGACGGCCTGGGACAAGAGGGGCTCGAGAAACACGACTATGTTCCAGCGAAAGGGTACTAGCACTGTCGGTGGTGCCTGTGAGGGAAAGGTGGAGCCACCAAGTGCGTATCTGCAAGTGACAGAGAACAGAGGACAGGATAGGGGGTGAGGGGTGGGGGCTCAGGCTGAGGCCAGGAAGGGGCAGCAGCAGGGAGACCCAAATGCCACCCAAGGGCTACAATTTCCATCTCCCGCAGTGTCCCTCCAGCTCTGCGGCCTGCATCAGGGAGCAGCACCCTCAACCCACGGGTGCCGGAACCGTGTGCAAAAGTGGCCACCATCGGAGAAATGACCATGCCCTCACAAACATGGGCACGGGCCTCTGCTGCCCCCACGCGGCCAACACAGGCGGCCAAAGGATCCCAGCCGACCAGGGAGGAGCACCAGCCCAAGCACCTCCTACCTGAACGACCCAGCCCCGCCCTCTGCACCCTTCCTTTTTCCCAGAACCCTCCCAGGCCAGCCTCCAGGCCGGAGACCACAGGGGCGAAATCGCACGGCGGCCCCAGAGCCTTGGAGTTTCTTTCTAGTTCAAAAACACTTTATACAAACCTTCATTGCCTTCAACAGCGATGCAGGCACCAAATAAGACACAAAGTAAGACACAAACATAGTTCAATCTCTAAGGGAAAGGTTTTTAAAAATTATTCTGCACAGCAGAAAGAAAAGGTCCAAAGTCAATCTATATTAATACTCAGCTCAAAACCTGTCTCTCAAGCTGCCTTTTGAGCCAGCCTACCAGAGAAATCAGGGCTGCGCCTGGGGCTGCTAAGTGCCAAGACCAGGAGTGGGTGAGAAAGGTGGGAAGAACCTCACCCTGCTCCCCATAAGTTAATGGACACCTCAATTCCTTGGTTTCTACTTGCCTAAAAGTGTAACCAGATTCTCTCCCCAGTTCCCTGGGGAAGAAAAAAAAGCAGTCCCTTTTGTCTGGTTTTAGTTTTCCAGATTATGTCTTTTGTAGTAGCTTACTTCCATCAGCCCAATACTCAAGGTAATTCTGTTCACGGAGGAAATCTTATCTTTCCAAAGAGAACTTCCTAGGATTTATGGTATAAAGTAACCTGCAATTGTCCTTCTAAAAGTTGCTGAATTGTCCAAGTTACAGGTATTGAACTAACCTGCCCAATTAAGTTTGCAGAACCTTGAAATAAAACATTTTTCAATATGTTCACACAAAGGCTAAATGCTCACCGGAGTTAATGCACAGGAGATGATCTCCAAGGCCATACTGTCAAAACTGTGATCAGATTATATAACACATAGTAGCTTTCCTTACATTTAGCAAGTTCAACAGGATCCCAAAACACAGTATGCTGAACACAGAATAGCTCTCCCCTGAAGTGGCTCCAGTGAGTGACACTGAGTTTCAAAAATATATAGCAGGTATTATAGCCAATCCTCACTGCCATGGACATGGTCCACTTTATATATATACACATATACATATATGTCATTCCTTACTGGGTACTAGTTTAGGCTGAATTTTTAAGGGTTTGTCTTGATGACTTAGAAAAATCCACTTGTCCTTTCTTGCTTTGATTCAGGTAATACACAATCATAAAATTAAGTAAGTCTCTTAAAAAAACAAAAGTTCACAGATCCCATTGTGGAAGGTTCCAGGAACCCCCTCCCCAGGTAATGATCAGGGGATCTTCAACAGCTCAAGGAGTGCTCCAACGGCTCCAAAATAACCCTGAAAGAAAAATACACAAAAAAAGAGCAATTCTCCTTAGAATTATTTAAATTGCCATAAATATGATTATGTTAAAGCCAACACTGCCCTTAATTCCTGACACCCTTTTCTGAGCACCCATTGTGCGGAGCCCAATATTTTTGATCCATGTTTGGGAATTTAAAAATACTGTTTTTGATTCACAGTTCATTAAATCCATGAATACGAAACTGATGGGTACAAAGGGCCACTGTATTTACTGAAAAAAGATGCACGTATACATGGACCTGCACAGTTCAAACTCATATTGTTCAAGGGTCAATTGTATTTCAAGACTTCAGAGAGCCTAAAATAATCTAAGTTCCATATGTGCAGAAATCAACACGAGAGTCAGAAGCCTGAATGCAAATAGAAAACAGAGACGAATGGACCAGCAATACTAACCAGAGAGGAAAATTAAATCAGCAGGCAATAAAAATGACAATATAAAAATCAAAATTTCATAAAGGGTTCATATTATAACTGTGATATGAAGATATAAGTTAAAAAAATTTTACAAAGTTACCCTAAGAAATTAATCTCCTCCCTGGCCAGGTGGCTCAGTTGGTTGGAGCATCATCCCATACACCAAAAAGATTGCAAGTTCGATCCCCAGTCAGGGCACATACAGGAAGCGACCAATCGATGTTTCTCTCACATCGATGCTCTTTCTCTCTCTCTAAAATCAATAATAAACATACCCTTGGGTGAGGATTAAAAACATAAAAAATAAATAAGAAGTTAATCTCCAGGATCTACCTAGGAAAAGGTTCAAAAAGAGGTAGAAATTCAGGAGAAAAGTTTTATTAAACATGACTTTTTTATTCTAATATGAAGCAAAACAAAACAAGTAAAAGTTCACAAAAAGCAGATGTTAAGGTATAAAAAACAATAACTCAGTACTGATTTACTAACATAACATTAGAAGTAATAAGTTAGATGTCTTGAACTTTAAGCTTTTGATATGGGGAAGTTGGGCACTTTGGGTTTTAACTATGAATTTAATCAACTTAAAAGACAAATTTAGCCGAAACCGGTTTGGCTCAGTGGATAGAGCGTCGGTCTGTGGACTGAGGGGTCCCAGGTTCGATTCCGGTCAAGGACATGTACCTGGGTTGCGGGCACATCCCCAGTAGGGGATGTGCAGGAGGCAGCTGATCGATGTTTCTCTCTCATCGATGTTTCTGACTCTCTGTCTCTCTCTCTTCCTCTCTGTAAAAAATCAATAAAATATATTTAAAAAAAAAAAAAGACAAATTTAAAGCTAGTTTAAAGGAAAAGCAATCTATAGCACTTTACATCCTACTTTGATTTCTGTTGATTCATATAAACTGTTAAAAGTGCACATATAATTTTAAAAGATGTTCATGATAATAACACCACTATCTAAAATCCAACAACACTTGAAATCGTTCAACTGCCCCACAACCAAGGGGAGGAAAGAGGGAGCCCCTTCCATAGCTCTGGTTCTATTTTTTCCCAAAACTGAAGAAACAAAAAGGCATTTTCCAAAAGAAGACATCAGGTTGAGCAACTCAATGATTCTTTTCTATTGTGTCATTTCTAGCCTGTCTACATATTAAGTTTTTATGATATTGTGGTTCTAGTCCTGGAATGTTTTTTACTGATCTATTTTTCAGAACAGACATCTTAAATAAATGGCATGTGAAAATATCAATACATAAAAACTGACATCAAAAAATGAAAAAAAGCAGAACCCATTTATAAAGTACAATGGGAAAAATATAATGATGGCTCAGAAATATGGCTGAATGTTAAGACTTCTTTCTTGCCCTAGCTGGTTTGGCTCAGTGGATAGAGCATCAGCCTGCAGACTGAAGGGTCCCACGTTCAATTCCAGTCAAGGGACATGCCCGGTTTGCCAGCTCGATCCCCGGTGGGGGGCATGCAGGAGGCAGCCGACCAATGATTCTCTCATCATTGATGTTTCTATCTCTCTCTCCCTCTCCCTTTGTCTCTGAAATCAATAATATATGTTGTTTTTTTGAAGACTTCTTTAATATTGCTGAAGCTCACAATGAGATTAACCAAAACTCTACCTTGCATTGAATTGGGTAAGAAAGAGCTTTTAAACATTACAATCAAAGTTAAACCCAATATCATATAATTACAAAAATATGTAAGTACTATTTCACCTCTACTTCAAATTCCAACACAATGTGAACTGCATGCCCTGTAACATATTGCAGGAAATAAGTCTGCTTACCTCGTGTTCCGAAAAAAGTGCTTTCAACTGTCCCTTGGACCAATAATCCAAAGCATATGCCAAAAGCCGCATGGCGATCGTATTAATTCTCAAGAAATTTCCAACAAATACCACCTGGTTAATATTCTGAGCACATCAAAAGAAGGCAATTAGTTTTCATCTTAATTTCAGTTCTCTCATAAAATCTACTCCAAACAGAGACCATGTGCATATAGTTTTTAGAAGCAAATTGACTTCTGATTTTAAAAAAGTATTTATATTTAATCCAATTGATCCAGGACTACTTAATTTGATGCCCACACAACTCTGGACCCACTTGAAAGCATGACAGAAAATATCACAGGAGAAAACAGATAGGAAAAACATGTGTATTAAATATGACAAACAATAACTACTATTAAAGTTTTGTACAGATAAGTAAAAGAAAAAGACCCAATTCAAAGAAGGAAAATGACACAAATAGGCAAAATTACACAATAAATATAACGGAAAAGAAATTCAACCTCACTAGTGATAAAAAGAAAGTAAAAAATTTAGACCTATAAATTAGCAAAACAACTAACTGAAATTCTACCCCCAGTATTAGTCAAGTTGTGGTAAAACTGACCCATTTATTTATTGCCGAAAATAATCTAAATTGGTACAGCCCTACTGCAAATAAAACACCTTGGCAACACCTATCAAGATTCATAACACGGTCATAGTCTTTAGATGAAAAACCTCACTCCTGATTAAGTCCCTTATCAAGAATAAAATTCACCAAGGAAAAGTTTCATGTTTAAAATGCTTTACCACAGGGCCGTCATTGGCAAGCAACCAAATGCCAATGACTTATATAAAAAGGAATCAAATCATACAGCCATGAAGTTTATATTTATGTAAAAAATAGAAAATGTACACCAACTAAAATCTTAAATACATAAGCACAGGAAAGGGAACATGCAATAAAGAAAATAGTGTTAACATAGTCAAATGAAGAATTTTTTTTTAATTACTTGATGCTGATACAGACTTTTAATTTAAAATGAAACAATTCTTTTGTACCTTTTAAGATTTCCTTTTTAAAGCCACATGTCTATCTTATCTGTTTAGAAGAATAATTTTAAACAAAAATATATAAATAGGGACAAGCTATAAAACTGCACCAACTGGATCCCCAAGGGAAGGCCATTCTTGGTTCTTTCATAGCCCTGTACAATGCTGCTTGACCTGAATGCTACAAGGCAGCACTGTAAAGAAGCTGAAAGCACAAAGACAGCTCTGCTGCGGTGGAGGGGGAGCAGGGTGGGCAGTGCTTGGCCTGCTCAATCTTCTCCCAGCTTCAATGACTTCCTCTGGATTCCTTCCCAGGAATTCTAGAGCTCCACAATGAGCATGGAGTCTAGATTCAGCATCACTAGCCATCATCACCACCCAATAGTAGTCCCCCCACCATCTGGCATACTGGCTACCTTCCTGCCTTCTAGATAGTAGCAGTGTTTATTTTCAGTAAGGGGGGAAAAAAAGTCAATTAAGATTAATCTACATGTGAAGAGTTTAACTTCTCCAATGAAACTAACTCCACTACATATGACTACAATTAGACCCATTTGGGCAAAACAGATGTTGTATACATGGTGGGGCCCACTTAGGATGTTGTCAGAGCAACTACAGAAATTCATGTCCCCTTACTTCATTAAGGGCACACATTCTTGCTATCGAGCCAATGTTGTTGGTGATGGTGATCAAAGTTGCTCTGGCGAGGTCCTCTTTACTGACAGCCTCTCGCTTCTCCTTGCTCATCATGTTTCCAAAGCTGTGATGGGGGGAAAAAAATCCCTTTGATAAACCAAAGGCAACACAGCCCAACAGAACTCGAATGTTACTTTACTAAGATAAAAGTGACTTTTAGAGCAATGTTACTCAAAACTTCAAACTTTTCATTTAAAAAAAAAAGGAGCATCTGCTCAAAGAGAAATACCACTTCAAAGAGAACCCTCAAGCATTCTGAATGAGCACATGGCTTTCCTTGTGGTTTCCACTGAAATATATTGAGCTTTGATACCAGATATGCACATATTGTTAGATTTCATCAGATGCACTGTAATGCACCACTGCTCCTTCTGCAACCAGGGAAAATTCCAGAAAGATACCTCTATTAGCAATCAATTCCTCCCAACTGCCCAGCTGTTCCATTCAGTTAAAGGGTCACATTCAAATCTGGTAAACTGCTTTATCCTAACAAAGTAAACTATAGCCAACCAGTCCCAGAGTAATCGAACAGTTTCAGATTTCTCTAGAACAGTGGTTCTCAACCTGTGGGTCGCGACCCCTTTGGGGGTTGAACAACCCTTTCACAGGGGTCGCCTAAGATCATCGGAAAACACACATATTGTTTTTGTGATTAATCACTATGCTTTAATTATGTTCAATTTGTAACAATGAAAATACATCCTGCATATCAGATATTTACATTACGATTCATAACAGTAGCAAAATTACAGTTATGAAGTAGCAACGAAAATAATTTTATGGTTGGGGGTCACAACATGAGGAACTGTATTAAAGAGTCGCGGCATTAGGAAGGTTGAGAACCACTGCTCTGGAAGATTAAGAGCTTCAAAGCACCTGACCTGCAGAACTGCACATTAATAACTGTGACCAGAAAACAAACCCAACCAAACAGAAAATGAAGTAATTACCAATAAGCAAATGCTGCAAACACAGAAAATGAAATCTACAGCGTTTACAAAGTACCTAAAATTAGTAAACAAGCATGTGTATGACTGCCTTTTCTATTATTAAAAACCATGTGCCCCAATGTGCACACAAAAATTTTATTTCCAAACAAAATATAAAATTAAGAAAACAATTCAACTTACAATAGCATCAAAGAGAACAAAATACTTAGAGATATATTTAACAAAAGTGTAACACTTCTACACTGAAAACTACAAAAACGATGGTGAAAGAAAAGACCTAACTAAGCAGAAAGACATGCCATCTTCTTGAATCAGAAGACTACAGTCAAGCTGCAATAGTCTCCAAAATGATCTACAGATTCAACACAATCCCTATCAAAATCCTAGCTGTCCTTTTTTGCAGATATTGACAAGCTGATCCTAAAATTTAGACAGAAAGTTAAGGGACCCAGACGAGCCAAAACAATCTTGAAAAAACATTGCAGGACTCACACTTCCCAATTTTAAAACGTAATACAAAGCTGCAGTAATCAAGGCATAATGATAAACATCAATGGAACAGAACTGAGTTCAGAAATAAATTATACATTTATGAACAACTATTTTCAACAAAGGGGCCAAGAGAAGTCAATAGGGAAAGAATGATGTATTCAACAAATAGTGCTGGGACAACTGTACATCCATACACAAAGGAATGAATTTGGACCACTACCTCACACCATATACAAAAAGTAACTCAAAATGGATCATAGACCTAATATAAGGGTTAAAACTATAAAACTCACCCAGCCAGCGTGACTCAGTGGTTGAGCGTTGACCTATGAACCAGGATGTCACAGTTTGAATCCTGGTCAGAGCACATGCCCAGGTTGAGGGCTCGATCCCCCGAGTGAGGCATGCAGGAGACAGCTGATTAATGACTCTCTCTCATCATTGATATTTCTATCTCTCTCTCCCTCTCCCTTCCTCTATGAAATCAATAAAAATGTATTTTTTTAGCCCTGGCCGGTTTGGCTCAGTGGATAGAGCGATAGCCTGCAGACTGAAGGGTCCCGGGTTCAATTCCAGCCAGGGGCACATGTCCGGGTTGCGGGCTCGATCACCCCCAGTGGGGACATGCAGGAGACAGCCAATCAATGATTCTCTCTCATCACTGATGTTTCTCTCTCCCTTCCTCTCTGAAATCAATAAAAAATATATTTTTTAAAAAGTATATATATATATATTTTTAAACCCTAT